TCATCATCCTCCTCCTCCTCCTCTTCCTCTGCGGTGGTCTCTTCTCCTCGGCTCTCGATCAGGTTCCTGCAGTCCAGCAGTTTGACGGAGCACATCTTCAGCGGCGCCTGCAGCATCTGCTGTTCTCCAGCGTTACGGTCAGAGGTTTGATCAGTGGATTCATGATCCTGAGCGTCAGTATAACACAGCAGAGTGAGGCTGAGCTCCGAGTCCTGTGTGTCTCTGGATCTCTGATCTCTGACGCTCCAGACTGAATCCTGAGCTTCTGTCCCGTCAGCCACGCGCACCGAAACCTGCTCCAGATCCTGAGGAACACATCACAGATAAACACTAATAAACAACCAGCTGGTGATATTAACCTCACGACTCAGACGTTTGGTGTGTAACAGAAGTCTCATTGAGTGACGGAGCTGAAGGATGAAGAGCTGCTCAAACCTCTCCTCTTTCTCTCAGCTTTGCCTCCAGTGACGCCACCTCTTTCTTCAGCCCACAGATTTCTGAGATGAAATCCTCAATCTCCAGCATGGACAGATCAGTTCCTACTGATTTACAGCAGAGCACATCCACCTGCGCTTTCATGCTCAGCATCTGAACACACACAGCATGATTACTACAAGAAGCATTTATAATGAACTGATCAAACCCAAAATGAAAGTCGTAAATTAAGCATGAAATTATAAGATTTGTACCCTTTTCTAAGCATTCTATAAGAGTGTCCAGGACTGAAAATTAAACAATGTGGTAATCTAGTAACAGGCTTTATTACAAATACAATATTTTAAACATGGTCACTGTAGCAAAACGATGGCAAATGTGTGGTTACTGTGTTTTTATTACAAATACATACCTGTACATTCATTAAAACATTTATATATGTTTTTTCCCCCTCTATATATTCCCTGTTGAAAAAAACAGCATATGCTGGTTAGGTATGTTTTGAAGCTGGGATGCTGGTTTAAACTGGTCCTTTGCTGGTTTAAGCTGGTCCTTTGCTGGTTTAAGCTGGTCATTTGCTGGTTTATGCTGGTCCTTTGCTGGTTTATGCTGGTCCTT